TTTAAAAGTTTTATGGAGGAGCTGGGATGTGACTCAGTGACCAGAGTGTCCAAGCCCCTGAATTCAATCCCCAGCAGCACAGAAGCCAGGCATGGTGCTGTGTCCTGTCAGCAGCAGGGAGGTGGGGCAACGAGGATCAGGATAAAGCTCATCCCGAGGGCCAACCTGTCTCAAACAAATAGATAAATTAACATTTTTTGAAGAAGAAATTATCCTCCCTTTTTATGTATAAGGAAATCATTTGGTCCATGTTTGATAGGCCATTTAGACATATCTACCTGTGTCTGAATACTTCTGCATGTTATACACTGTAGCTTGTTTTTTGAGCTGATGTCATGGGTTTTATAAGTGGTATGTGTGGTTAATGAACAGGCCTATGGGGGTACTTAAGTTGCAGATGTTGGCAAAAGCCATGTTCTTGCAAACTAGCCAATTATCCGAGGTACCAGAGAATAACAGGACAAAATACCATGCCACCCTCGGTCAATCTGGCATAGCTGTCATCTTTTGCCAAGTACATTCCACCCTAAAATGCTGCCACCCCAGCACAACTCATGCCAGCTTATGGAGCATACTCTCTGCATTTCATGCAATCAGAGGAAGGCAGCACTGCCTGCCTGGGTGCAGCAGAATTTCCTTCTGCAACTCTAGAAAACTTCTCAAGTAATCGATTTGGAAGCTAGAATTACACTATAGAAGCACATCATTTTAATATTATTTGGAACAGGCTCTGTATAGCCTAGGCTGACTTCAAGCTTCCTATGTAACCGAAGGTGACCTTGGCCTTTTTTCACATGTGTGTATGGTATGCACATTTTTTGCATGTGTGCATGCCTGTGCATACATATGAACGTGCTTGCAGAGGCCCAAGTTCATGTTGGGAATCCTATGTTCTTCTTAGCCACTGCAGCAGGGGCTCTTGCACATATGGCTAGCCTAGTCTCGCTGGCCAGCTGGCTCTGTGTCTGCCTTCTGAGGCTGGAGGTAGAAGTAGGCCGCCACACCCAGCTGGTATTGGGGTGGGTTTCTGTGGTCTTCATGGTTGGGCAGCAAGTGTTCAACCTTCAAAGTTGTCTTCCCTGAGCTTGAACTTCTGATCCTTGCATCCACAGTCCTGGGATCATGTGATTGTGCCACCACACCTGGTTTGCGTGGCTGAAGCCACACCCACGGCTGAGTATCCTTGGCAAGCACGCTACCAGCTGACCTGTCTCCCTTGCCCGTCATTTAAATCTTTTACTTTAAATCTCATATTAAATAAAATTAAGTTTATTCAAAGAAATGATTTAAGTGAGCCTAATTGAAAGAATATTTGTCACATATTATAAACAATATATAAACTATGTATGAATAAAAGCAAAACTTGAAGTTTTGTTTTAAAAAGTAAACTTTTAAAATGTTAATGAATTTTATTAAATGAGATGATAAGGGCAGTAGGAGCACAATAAGTCACAACGAACTCTGTCGGCTCTGCTTGTCTTAAATAACTTCTAGTAGCACACATCTAAAGGTAGAAACGTGGCGGAGTGCTTGCCTAGCGAGTGAGGACCTGAGTTCCTCCCCAGAACCCAAGTACAGGGTTGAGCGCATGTGTGTAATCCCAGCACCAGGGCGGGGGGTGGGGGGGGGCCCAGCTGGGTCCCTAGGGCACTTTGACCAGTCAGCCCAGCCTAAATCCGTGAGCCCCAGGCCAATGAGAGACCCATCTAAAACACATGGAGGGACATAGCTCAAAGAACACTGCCTCCTAAGGTTGTTCTCTAGCCTCCATAAGCACACATCTGCTTGCACAACCGTACATGCATGCATGCCATGGTGAGCATGTAGACGTCAGAGGATAGCCTGTGTGTGTGTGGGGGGGTCCTGTTCTCTTCCACCTTGTTGGTTTCAAAATCCCACAATAGCCCTCAGGTGTGATGGCAGGTGACATTCCCTCTGGGCCACTTTTCGGGTCTCCAAGACACGTAATTATGATGCCAGTGTTTTCCCACCAGCACACCAAGAGCGCTGAGACAGTCATTTAAAATTATATAACCTGTAAAACAAAATTAAGACTTAGAGATAGCCAAACAGAAAAGCTAGAGAAATATTCTTTTTGGAGGGTTAGTTTAGCTTTTCTGGGGCAGGATATTGTATTCTGTCAGGCTGGCCTCATACTTGCTATATAGGCAAGGATGACCTTGAACTCTTGACCCTCCTGTCTTTTCCACCTAAGTATTGGGAATATAGACATGAATCATCACAATTGATATGTGATTCATAAAAGGGGTCATATATCACAGTAATATATACTGTGTCCTAGCGTATAGTGCAGTAATATATACTGTGTGCTAGTGTATATTAGAGTAATATATACTGTCCTAGCGAATAGTGCAGTAATATATACTGTGTGCTAGTGTGTATTAGAGTAATATATACTGTGTCCTAGCGTATAGTACAGTAATACATACTGTGTACTAGTGTATATTAGAGTAATATATACTGTGTCCTAGCGTATAGTACAGTAATACATACTGTGTACTAGCATATAGTGCAATAATATATACGGGGTCCTCGTATGTAGTACAGTAAATAAAGTCAAGTTTCATAAAACTACCTAGGTAGATGATGATGAAATTAGGAATAAAATACTGCACAGTGATGGTCTAGGATGCACCCATTAGGAGAGTGTGGCAGTGCACACCTATAATCCCCGCATTGAAGAAGTAGAGGCAGGAGGATCAGAAGTCCCAGGTCACCTTTGGCTACATATTGAGTTTGAGGCCAGCCTGAATTGTGTGAGCCCTTGCCTTTTTGTCTTTTTTTTTTTTCCTGAAGCTGAGGATCGAACCCAGGGCCTTGCGCTTGCTAGGCAAGCGCTCTACCACTGAGCTAAATCCCCAA